TTCAAACCCCTAATCGAAAAAAAAAAACAAGAAAAAGAAAATTGAATAGAACAGATCAATTATCACTTAGGTGCATCTGATTACCTGACTAACAGCGAGCTAAATCAATAGGATCAGAGCGATTAATCGGATGCCCCAGCAGAGTAACAGAGAGGATTTACCCGTTCGTTGGCCGCGATGAAGAGTGTCTAAGTATTGCTTGGTGGCTCTTGTTTATTTGTTTGTTCGTTTTAGGTCCTCATACTATTCCCAAATGCCTAAAGCCTGATTATGAAATAATTTGTTTAAAATGAGTTAATTTAGTTAATCATAATTAATTAGAAAAAAAATAATAACATAGTTAGGTGTTAGTGAAATTTAAAAAAAAAAATTAAAATAATATTTAAAATAAAATAATTAAAATTGATTTCACGTAAAAGTATGAGAGATGATGTGAAGTGATGATTAGTTAAAATGATGTGAAGTGATGATTAGTTAAAATTATGTGAGTGGATGAATAGTGAATTAAAGTTGATGTGATGTGTAAGAATGATTGAATTGTATTATTTAATTATGAAAATGATATTAAAGATAATATAGTTGTTAAAACTGAGTTATATTTTAATTATGAAATAAAGTTGAATAAATTATTTTATAAACAATCACGCCCTAACACCAACCCCTTTTTCTTCTAATGTTATACATTTGTCATTTTAGGTCCTCATACAATTCCCAAATATCTAGCTCTACCCCCATTTATTCACATTTTATACATGTTCCCCTCTAAATCTCTCAAACTTATTGCATAATTTAAAAGTTTAACGCAAATTCTTGTGTGAAATGACCTATCAATTAGATGAGTTGGTTTATCATACTTTGATTTTGAATGTATGTATATATGTTGAAAAAATATGTTTGTCTAACCATAAGGTTTGCCTAACAACAACCTTACTAAAAATTTAAACAGTATGTCTTATCAATTTCCCTTTTCGTGAGCTATATAAAAGTACTACATCTCAAAGATAAATAGTAGTTTAGTGTATGAAAATACTAAATTAATTATTAGTAACTATAAATATTTAAGTGAATGAATAATAATTATAGATTAATGTGTGGTTGATTTTAATTTGAATCTGTGTTGCAATATGTGCGAGTTGTAAATAGAGAAGAGACAAATAAACTATATTTTTCTTTTATTGTGAATGAGAAAATGAGTTTGAGAATATATCCAATCCTGCAAAACCATTTATCTAATCACTTTGTAAGAATCAAGATTTGTTATTTACAAGTCAGGTGTGTTACATTCAGACACATATGTTCGAAACCTCTGTAAGATGCCTAAATTAGACCATTAACCTAATCATTTTGAGTAATAAGGATTTGTTGTTTACAAGTCAAGTTCATATTCCTGTGCTCGAAAAACCATTAACTCATCAATCCTAATCATTTTGAAGAAGGATTTTTCAAAAAATACAGAAGATGATGTAGCTTTGCCCAACATGTCTAGAGAGCTCGACTATGATAACCTCGACTGGTTATCATTGTGATGCTTTATCAGAGCTCGAAGGGATTTAATGCTACGAAATTCATAGCACAAAAATAAACTACAAAACGATCAAATCATGCAGAAAAGTTGAAACTAGAAGTTCCACAAATCATGATAGTAAATACTCTTTCAGGCTTCCCTAGTCCCTACTACTCCCAAATTTGGAAAGCAATATACACAGTTCACCAAAATCAAAACCATCAATATCATATATCCATCTCGACAAAAGTGATGCTTCAAGCTTTAAGGTAATAAAACGCATATCCCAAAACACAACTTACGAAATGAAAGTGCGCATTCGAATGAGAATAAAACTCCATCTCAAAACAAATTTCAAATTCCATCAAGTTAGGCATTACACATCCTAACACCAACAAAAAAAGGGGAGGAAAAACACTTATTCATCATCCTCAATGATTTGGGTGCCCAATCCCTTCAACCCTGCTTCTGGAATCTCTGCAACAGTCACAAGAGAGTAAAGCTCCTCCTTGGCATCCTCATCATCGTTCCTCTTTCTCGCAATACGAACACGGATTCTCCTGGGCACGCTCCGAATCCCACGGCTCCAAATGTGCTTGTTCAGCTTCACATCAACTCGGACATCCTTAGTGCCCATGGCCTTCTGGGCAAATTTCCTTATCTCCTTTATGGCCTTCGGAGCCTTCTTCTTGAAGGTACTGCACGTAAAATTTCGTATATGAAGTAGAATTAGACCACCAGGTATCACAATAGTATGCAGTACGTAGTTAGTTATAGTCCAATTGGGTTTTTCAGCAACACAAACTAGAAATCAATTTATAAAAAACACCCATTAAAAAATAAATAAATAACTCTGGCTTGAATAGAAAGGGCTGTAGAATAGTACACAAAACACCTAATCCCAGCAAGTTATGATTTTTATTTACAACAGTTATAACAAGAGTATAAGCTAAGAATCTCTGAATTAATACTAGAAACCACAAACGATCTAAGTTCTACGAACAGAACAGTGGATACAGTGGATACGAACTATCCAAGGATTGAAACCATGCATTTTGCAGCCATGGTAAAAAAATACAGCACAACTTATAGCTTTGTTAATTCACAAGAACTCGTTTGTTGATCCAAAGGACATAACGACACAAAAAAAAATTTTGTGGTGCCATTCGGCAAATTAGGACCTCTATCGATATCAATAAGACAAAGACTTAAAATAACACGAATGCATTACATGTTCGAAACCATCAAAACATTGAAGCCATGATAATAAAATACAGCTGAGTATATCGTTTTGCTTGTTCAATTTGGTAGACAGGACAACATGACACAAGATACTAACACACAGTTCGAGAAAAAGACTTCCATCAACATCAACGAGACAAAATGTGTAGACATAGCAAAATGACACAAGATTCTAACGTGACGTTCGGGTAAACAATAGGACCTCCATCAACATCAACAAGACAAATGTGTCGACAACACAAACTACAAAATGACACAAGATAGTAGATACTACAGAGCTGTTCGGGAAAAATTAGGATCTCCATCAACACCAACAAGACAAAATACTCAGAATAACATCAATCTAAAAATGTGTGTGAAAGCTTAATCCACATTGTGTGTATGGAAGCTTAGTCCATATTTCTCAAACACGCATATGGACATCACAACATATGGGGTCAATTTACTACACAGGTAGAACAGGCAAAATTTCAAGCTGATCATGTCTGCTTACAAATGAGCTTCACATAATCATGTGTCAATGGCGACAAAAACCGAGAAATGTACACACTCATCATTGATAATTTATTCTTCAAACTCATAAACCCTAAATACCGGACAAATAAAAATGCTTAAACAAATAAAAATGATCAATAAAACACCAGCCAACAAGATCTGAAATCCCAATGACCCAAAACATACACAGCAGCGAGAGAGAGAGAGAGAGAGAGAGAGAGAGAGAGAGAGAGAAAGAGATTACCATCCATGCAGACGTTTATGAAGATTGACGGTGTACTCCCTGGTGACGACCTCCGCCGCCCTCGGTTTGCTTCCCTTCTCCACCATTGCCGTCGCTGGTGCCCAAATGCTCGGCGGCCCTCTTTAAAATCGCTGGATTTTGGGTATGAACTAGAAACCCTAGATGTGAACCCCAGTGTTTATATACACGTGCATATATGCATATAAGTGTCACTTAGTTTACCTGAAATGTCCTCAACCCTTACTTAAACCACAAAGTTGCCCCTGATAATTGTATGGGGCCATCAGGTGTTGGTAGGGTATAAACCTGAGTCTAGTCGAGCCGAGCAGAGCCGAGCTTTAGCTTTAATGAGCTGATCTATGCTCGGCTCCTTAACTTAACGAGCTTATAATTGAGCTTGAGTTTGGAGCCTAAATGAGCCAAAATCGGCATGAACTACATAAAGATACATAAAATTTATTTTCGAGCCTAAAGAGTTGAGATAAACTCGTCTCGTTAACAAAACGAGTATTAAATGAGCTCGATTTTGGCTTGTTTGATAAGTTGAGCCGATCCAAGCTCACGAACGACTCGTTTTATTTAACATATATGAGCTCATTTCACGTTTTACTCTGATTTGGAGATGTTCAACAATGTACTAATGATTTCAGGTTAAACTCAACGTGTTTCGGACTTAGGCGTGATTGAATATAAAAATTAATATTAATATAATTAAATAATATCAATCAATTAGCTTCACACATCATATCAACTTTAGTTTATTATTCATTCACTCATATATTTTTAACTACTCATCACTTTCTGTAATATATCTTATATTTTTGCATCACATCAGTTTTTATTATTTTATATTAAAAATTATTTAAATATAAATTCAAAATATCTCTCAATTATCCACTCAATCAGCTTTATTTAAAAAAAAAAAAAGAATCACTTAAACTAATAAATTCAATTAATATATATTATTTACATCAAATTACCCCAACGATTTGAGTCAAAATGTTCCATTTTAATGACTTAGCAATAATCCAATTTAACCTTAAGAGTGTATATTCAATTGTAACAACGAGGCCTCACCATGAAGGTGGTGGTGTTGAAAAAGATGTAAGACTTTTAAAAATTTGGTGTGTTCAGTTAATTTTTTTGAGAATTTTAAAAAATATATTATTATTCAATTGAGACTTTTAAAGACTTATTCATAAATCTTTAAAAGTCCAAAATTGTTCAATTAAACCTTCTAAAAGTCCCTATAAATCCACTTTAAATCTACCAAACAATTTTAAATTCAAATTTTTGATTCAAAATATTACTCAATTTAATATTCTTCAATATTATCAATATAATTAAATAATATGCGGTGACGGTGGACCGCCAACGATTACAAAATGCATGCTTAAAAAGGTATAATCAAGGGTTATGGAATATTTTTAGTAAATTATAATTGTGAATAATATAGACATGTCAAAATAAAATAAATAAACGTAAAAAACAGCGCGACGTCGATATTGTAGATGGCGATCAACTAGGAAATTGTTTATCTGGAAGTTTTATTGAGTAATTATTTTGTGGGAATACAACCGAATATGGTGAGTCTATAATCTTTGAGAGATCAACTTATATAAAGGAAAACAACGTATTGTGTGAGGGGGATAAGATTTTATATAACGATGTTGATCAACGGTAGGTGATTGTTGACCTGGGGTCGATATTTACACACGAAAAAAGTGATGGTGCTTAAATGCTAGGTGTCAGCTAGGGTCGTATGGTGGTGTTGCGTATATATGTGCAGATTTTGATGGGAAATGTTGGGCGGTGCCTTCAATTTTATCAGTTCATAATTCAAGCTTGTGATGATTGACATACTTACTCGAGAAGATTTTGAGGGCGATAGGGGGATCGGCAACCCTAGCTTTGTGATCTTAGGCCGTTCGCGAGAGGGTTGGTGGGATATTTGGGCTTTGTTTAGCATGTTGAACATTCGTCTTTCAGGAGTTTTTATGATCGGGTATTTTTAAGTACAACAATATGAATTAATTATATCACACATCACATCAATAAAATTTGCTATTTAACACTCGTATATTTTACATAACAATCAAATTCAATCACATTATTTATACTACATTAACTTTAATCATTACGTGTTAACTCGTCTTCAAACACAAACTCAAAAACCAATAAAAAAAACTTTTCATATTTTATCCTTTTTAATTTACTTTATTTAATAGATTAAAATCAAACCCAACAAATTTATGTCCAATCGCAACCTAACAAATTGAGGCTCCAGGCGAGACTATCGCACCTTAACAAATCAACAACATTGGATGAAAGCTTAACAAGTTGAGTTCAACTCAAGTTGTTAACTGAACAACTTTAAAAGCTAAACAACTTGTTAACTTAATTATTAAATTCAAGTGATCTTTAAAATAGAAAAAAAATTAAGAGGAAATAAGTTTTGTATGATCTTAAAATTAAAAACAAATTTGATAAATAAAGAGAGAATGATGGGAGGCAATGACGTATGGTGTAAAAATTAATTAAGGCACTTTCAGACCAATTATGGTTCCAAATCTTTTAGAACCAAAATACAAAGCATGATATTGTAACTTGTGGACTCCAAAACGTGCGAGTCTGCCACTTAGGTTCAATTTTTGAATTAGTATATAGAGGGGACAAGTTTAATTTGATAGGATGTACTTTTAAATAAAAAAATAAAAATTTGAGCTTATACCATAAACTTCATTAAATATCTTTTCAAACAACTCCGTTGAAAACTTTATTTCATGCCTTATCGGTATTTTTATCAAACACTTTTGTCAAATCAATTAATTTTTCAAAAGTGAAATATAAGCTTTAAATTCATTTATAAACTAGCAAGTTATAACTTATTTGCTAGTTTTACCAACCATAGTCAATCGTTTTTATTAAGTCGCTTAGAAGAGAATTTACAAAAATCAAAACCCAATTTCGCCAAAAAAAAATCCAAAAAGCTTGAACCTGCGCCTTACCATGCTAATCTTGTCGGGCTGCTTCGGTGGTGGCCGTCACCGAGCCGCATGGCTCGAATCCCAGAGAAGTGCCGCAAGGAGCCGCAGATCTTCGTTGGCGGAGGAGGCTGGTCACCCCCGAGTGGGTTTCGCTGTCCTAGTTGCCATGTAGGGAGGAGGTTTGCTGATTTCCCGACGGCTTCACGATGGTGGGCGGGTGATTTTTCGGGAGAGGGTTGCAGACTCGATCTATCTCTTTGTGGTGGTCAGTGTAAAGGTTTGTGACCCCTTTCTCCCCGTGTTCCTCTTTTTATAGTGTCGGATGGATGAGATGACCTGCGAGCCTAGATCGTGGGTCGTGTTGGTTTCGAGCCTGGGTGGCCGGTGGTGTTGGGATGGATTGGGAAGTGTACCTTCGGTTGAAGGTTTAGTGTCTTCCGTCTTGGCGTGGGGTTGGGTTGCTAGTTGCAGATCTAGATAGACGTGTGACAGTTTTTGGATTTGCTTCTTGAGGCGTGACTCAATGCTTGTGGGTCGTCGGCCGCGGGTGGTGCTGTCTTGGTTAGCTCGATGGAAATTATCGGCAATGAGAAGAGTTTTATTCTATTTCTAATAGTATTTTCATATTTTGTTTTGGGTGTTGGTGTTGTTTAAGTGTCGTTTTTTTTTTTTTTGTCTTGGTTATTGTTTTGTGTGTTTCGGTTTTTTCTCTAGTTCAAAGTGTGTTTCTTGTCTGATCCTCTCGATAGGAGTATTTTTGTCTCTCATGTGGAGTTTTTTTCAGTCTCTTAGGTGTGTTTGTTTCGAGGGTTTTGCTTATGTGGCCGTGAAGGTCGTGTAGGGAAACACTTGTTGTATTCTCTCTCCTTGGTATGACACTTGTTTTGTGCCTAGTAAACGTTGTCAAGTGTACTAGTGTGGTACCCGTGCGATGCACGGGCTAGTTTTATTATGATAAGCATTTTGATTGGATGAATGAAAAAACGTAAAACGCATACATTAGACTAAACAAAATGTAACTTATATATTAAGAAACGCATTATTGTATACAACATTATTTGTTTGCCATTTGTTAAATCGTCTACCGCCACAAATTAAAATTTTCAAACACTTAAAATTCGTAGCGCGTGAAACATGCATAAAGTTGGTCGTGAAGGTTACATATATTAGGATTCTAGACAGGTTTAAATAAATCAATTAAATTATTTAGCAGGATATATCTTATATGTTTTATACTTGTTTTATGCAGATTGCATAGCAAAATATAACGGATATCGTAAAACGTCTTTCGTGATAATCTATAGTTAATTCGAATTTTATATTGCCAAATATATATATATATATATATATACATATAATAGTAGTTTAATATGAAGTTCATTTATATGAGAATGTATTTTTTTCTAATTGAAAATTTTCATTCAGCCAAATTTTTTTTTCAGCCAGATTTTTCGAATAAAAAATAAGAAAGGGTTTTGATTTTTAGAAAACCGTAAACACTACCGAAATCTACCAAAATTAAATCTACAATACCCATCATTTTATGGTGCATTTAAGAGGTTAATAAACTAAAAAAAAAATTAAAAAAAAAAAACTACCGACATGCAATAAATGTGGGCCGATTTTATGGCAACTCAATGATAAGGGATTTAAAAATCAAAATTTTATATTCGAAATGAGACCTAATTATTTTCAGTTAGATTTTTTGAATAAAAAATGAGAACGGATTTTGATTTCTATTTAATTGACAATGGATTTTGATATATGAAATTTTTAAAAAATACATCAACAAAACCCATCAATTTAGGGTGCATTTCTGGATGCCCGATTTCTTGGGTTAAGATTAAAAGAAAATTAAGAAACTGCTGATTGGAATGCGTTAAATGTTGGTTGATTTTTATGTTAATATTTTTTGTAAATAGGTTGTCTTTTTATATATTTATAGATTTGAAGACACTTACAATTTTCCTAAACTATTTTGAAAAAAAAAAACATGTCTAAAAATATTAAAATATATATATATATGTGTGTGTGTGTGTGTATATATAGTTATAATATGACATGATAAAATATTATATAAAAGTATCTATCATTTTATAAGCCTAAATAAAGACATTATAAATTTTCTGAGAGAAAATTTACCTAGTATATATAAAATAAATATTGACATGATCCCAAATTATGACGGTACTTCTCAAAATTTGAGTATATAATTTCAAAATTATTATTTTTTTTATAAGTTTGTTACGGTTAAAAAGAAATTTTGTACATATAATAATTTCACGCTTTATGCAGATTTATTAAGTTTACAAATACAACTCAAAGATTAATGTAAACTGTAACAAATATATAGAACTCATAATCAGATAAAAATTGAAGACAATATTTAATTCTACATTTCTTCTTATAACTTTTTATTGTATGTAGTTTGAGAGAGAAATTATGTGATAAATATACTAAATACCTCTAAAATATTATATCATATATATAAAAAATATAATATTATATATTATTCTTGAAAAATGTTTGAAGCCACTTTTCTAAACTACAAAAAATATGTCAAAAAATACTTAAGTTTAACCTCATACATGTGTGTATATATATAGAGCTCCTTAGTCTTTGTCTAATGTTTAAAATATCTAAAATATTATAAGAGTTAATAATTGTTAAAAAAATATTAGTATTTAGACGAGTGAAAATTATTTTTTAAAGCAATTAACTTGTTTTAAGAAAAAAAAATTCTGTTACTATTGTTTTTTAGAAAAAATATCTATTTTTTAGGAAAGAGAACAGATTGTTAGAAATTGCTAAGAAATTATAATTCATCAAAATTGATTTTTTAATAACGTATAAAAAACAGATGAATGGATTGTTAAGAAATTGTAATTCATCAAAATTGATTTTTTGATGTGGTTTTTATTAAGAATTTCGATCTCCAAAATTGTTAAGATGCAATATTATTTTACCTTGTTTAAATTAGATTTGATGAGTATTTTTTAGTTACGTGACTTAATTTGGATATGTATGGATTCTCTTTTGAAAAATTCAAATTAAGTGAAATTATTATAAATAAGTATGGACTATTGTATTTAAATAAAGAAAAAAAAAAGTCGAAGTCTGATTTGTTTTAAATAAATGTTCGAATTAAAAATGTAAAAAATGTCTTAATATTCTATAAATGAATATAATTTATACGTGCGTTAATTGCAGATCACGGGTTTGATATTGAGATAAATAAATCCCAAACAAATTTCATCCAATAATTAAGGAAATGATATCTATCTATAATCTATCTACAAAGAAAAACTGTCCAATAAATCAACTATTTCAAAATTGCCGTTCATTCTTATAATAAATCAGCTATTTTGGGGCAGTTTTGATTAGCAAAAAATAAGGAAATAAAAAAAGATTTTGGAGAGGTTTAATGAATGTATATAAAACAGATTTTTGAAAAATAATAAAACAACACGTATTTATTGTTTTGGTGCCAGTTTTTTGGCTGCAACTTAAAAAAGGTTATTCTTTTAATATAATTATAGATTATAGATTTTGATCACTGGTTTGTACTTCCAAGGTGTGATAAACACTGATAATACAATTTGATGTTTGGTAGTTTTTTTAAAAAAAAAAAATCGTGTATGAGATGTAATAGATGATGAAAAAAAGGGAAGGAAAAGTCTTGATTAAGGGACACTTCTTTTTAAATCCCTAAATCTCTTTCCAAATTCCTTTCAACTCC